ATATTAAAAGAAATACGGGAGATGTGAAACCTCTGCATTCCCAAGAAACAGAATTCCTTCTTTTACTATAGCCATCAAAAAAAAAGTTATTTAATCTATATGATGCTAGGAATCCTTCCCCCCCAGATAGTCCACCACCAAAGCAGTCCCTGTAGACCAGCAGTAGCTTCCAGTTAGAAAAGTCTCCACACATTCCAGTGCCTTTCATTATTGTGTTAGCTAAATTAGCTGACTAATCTGTTGCTAAAAAATAGCCACAGCCTTCTCTATGTAGGACTCCCACTGGTGCTAGCACATATGAAGAGTACCTTTGAGTAAAATTCCCAGCCATAGACAACGTGAAGAGTTGAACATCCAGTATATCCTCCACAAACCAGCTTAAAACACAAGGTTCTGCTCCTGCGATGACCTCTCCACAGAGCAGCCTGATGATGTGAACCACACAGGCTTGTAAAAGTCCAAAGGATGAATCTCTGAGATTTGCCCCCTTTTCTGGGGTCTTTTGGTCTTCCTGGAGCAGTCTTGAAGTACGTATAAACTATAAATTTACGGAGGGAAGCATCGGATATTGCCAAATGTAATTAAAGTGGATTTAAAGAAGTAGAAAACTTCATAGACTATCTTCATGCGCTTACGAAAGCATTCTCTGGTACCAGAAAATTAAAAATCCCTTTATTTCTGATACTTCATTATAAATATTAATTCACAACTCAAAGTGATAGCAAAGTGTGCATACTTCAGGACAAGGTGTTACTGGTTCTTAAAACTACCTTTCAGATAAAAGCATAATCATGTTTCAGCGTGTTTCTTACCAGAAAGGCTTACTCCAGAACTCAGAAATGTTCTATAGGCTTATATAGACCTTTTAAAAACACGGCTTCTTGACATACACAATTGCTTTGTTGCAAAAGCAGTTTTATTACAGTAGTCACTTCCATACCGACAGTTTGCTGGTCAGATCCAATTCTGATTCACTTTAGTGCGCCAAGATCAGAGCTGAAATGACTGATCAAGAAAAACATGTTTTTTCTGAAATCAAGGGAAGATTTCTATGAAATGGAGAGAAGTGCAAGGAATGCCACTGGAGGGCAAGTAACATTATTTTTATAATTCACTTTTATATTTTGTATCAAGATATGCTGCATTTTCTGATTCAAATTGCAGGTCTGTATGCAATGTGAATTTCTGTAGGTGCTTTTTACATGTTGAAATTAAAGCTTCATACAGTGTGTCCATTATACATACTATTTTCATTAGGACTTTTGGTTCAAAGAGCCTAGTGTACAAAATTTTGTTTCTGGTCTTAATTACATGCTTAAGAGATCTGTACGTAGTACCTGCAAAACCACAGAGGTTTCACCAATAGATTTATGATGGTTGTTTTCCTTTTTTTTTGCTCACGCGACCGCAGGACCCAGAAGTGAGCTGCTCTGCAGGGGCAAACACTAGGAGAATACAAACACATGTCCCTGAAACAAAACAAATGGGGGAGCATCACCTGGGAACAAGCGTTACAAGTTAGTGTGGTGGGACATGCAAACATCAAAGCCATTCAACTTACCATAACCAGGTAATTAGAAAGAGCTCAGGCCAGGAAGAACACAGAAAAATACAGATATGGAGAAAGTGAGCAGATAGGCAAGGACAAAATTAAAAGTTATTTGATGTTAATGGAGTCTCTTTAAACTCCTGCACCTTTGGCCTAATTCCTACGCCTTCAGAAGATTTCCCCGATTCCCCCCTTAGTTACTCACAGACTCAAGTGGCTTTGTGAGCGACGCTCCCCACGTGACAGCCCCTCCACGGCTTTTGTTACTGGTGCAGTTCTTGTATTTCACTCTGGTCCCAGCGTACAGTTCCTCCAGGGGCTGCGATGTGCACTGCCGTGCTTTGCACTGTATGAAAACGTGGGTGAAAATGCAACGGCAACTTCCTTACCTAATCCCCCGTTCTTCAGCCTGGAAGGGAGCACAGCCGGGCATACTTGACAGACATGCTCCTGGCCACGGGAGTTTGTTTTAGGTGTTTCCGTTACACGTACGTTTTCCCTATTCACTACCTTTTCATGTCTACCTGCGTTCATCAAAGTGTATGTCGAAGCAGACACCAGTATAACGGGTTTTGTGGAATCTCTAGCTTTTTGCATCAATTTGGCCTGGTACAGTCTCCACAAATGCCTTATCTGTCACAACTGGAGACCTTGCTTGCTCCAGACGTACCTAATTCTCAGAGCAGAGACAGAACGAAACCACTTTCTGATACATGGTACAAAGTACAGAGCAGCAAGCTCTCTTCTCCATTCTGTTTGGTCCTTTTCCTTTCCATCTACTGGAGGCCGTTATGTGCCTTATGAGGACAGTTCATGTCTCTGCAGAGATGTAAGGTCAGGATGCGCGTTTCAAATGCGATTCCATGACAGTCATTTTTTAGTTCTCAATTGCTCATCAACAGGTGCTCCTCTCCCTCTCTAGCCATTCACATGGTGTTGTTATGGCCCCTGTCAAAAACATCATTTTGATGGTTATATAAAAAAATACTCAGACTTCCAATAAAGTCTAACACCCACGAAAAAGCAGCTCATTGCACATTTATTGCTGTCACATCATAACAGAAACTGTCTTTTCTTTTTTTTTTTTAAAAGCAAAAAATCATTGAAAAATGATTCTTCAGCCTTTCCTGTTTAGTGCTGCAGTGAAGGACAGGACAAATACAGGATGATAATAAAGATGAAACACCACCACATACCCTTAGAGTAATTATAAACCCATTCTCGCATAACTTGCCACAAAATTTAAAATGAAACTATATAAACTTTAAGTCTCTACTACTAAGAAAAAGTCAGAAATATTTTTAAATAGCATCTACATTTTTTAAAAATTGCTTTCTATCAGCTAGACACGTGGCAGATTTTGCAACAGAAGCTTCATAGGTTGAATGTAAAATGGAAGTTATCATTTATGGCCTTTTATTGTTGAGAAAACACATAACTTTATTTTGAAGAATTTACTGTATTTTTGAACAATTGATCTTTGAAAACTAAGACATAGCAACACAAAAGTTCTCTTCAACATACTTTTTGCAACATACTGCAAAATAAGTTTTAAATACCCACTTTATTATTCTTTGAAGTACAGACTTTCTAGGTATCTGCTTTCTTAAATGTGTTCACGGTACATCTATAAACTGTATAAATGGATCAGCACACAAGTGTCTTCTATCCAAATGACATCCCAAACCTGATAATGTACACTCATATGAAATGTATTGCTGTTTATTATTTCTGCTACTGTAAATAATAGTTTTCAGTCCTTTTGTCCTAAATGATAAAAAGTGTGCCAACAATAAAAATCCGTTAAAAAAAAATCAATTACCAAAAATTAAGCCTCTTTTCTCTACAAAAGCCTTTTAGCAACATATGCTATCACAGTACAATGAAAGCTAAAGCAGAGTTACGCCTTCAGTATGCATCATACAATCCATGAAGCATTTAAACGTGTAAGGCCATATCGAAGTAGCATATTCATTCTTCTATAAAGCGACTAGATCTAGATGAAAGGGAAAAGCGGACTCAAGACAAATATACCTATGAATAAAATAAAGAGACCTGACCAATTTATTCATTAAACTCACAATTGAAAAATAGCATGCTCCTGAACAAAACACTGGACAACCTGCAGTAACTCTTTCCAGATTTTTTAATAAAGCTAGACAAATACTAATTCCAATCTGAATTTTTAGCTTGAATTTGGTACCACTTATGCAAGGTCTTCATCTGTTATCTGATCCATTATCAAATTTCTATTGCTTATGTATATTCAAGACTATGATCAAGCCATATCTGTTAGAGATTGCAGTCCTTTCACTCTAAGATTTTCCAGTCTTTCATTCTTATGACTCTTTACCCCCTTCTCCACTTTTTCTGATCTCTCTTGAATTGCTGACACTGAACTACATGCACAGCTGACTAAATGTACCAATACCAAATAAAAGGGAAACAGACATTTTAAACACACTTTTTTTTTTAAAGTGTTCTCTGACCCACAAAACTTCTGTGCTAGTTTTAATGTTAGAAACATGCATTTAGGTTTCCTATCCATGAAACCTATTAAAATCCTTTTCATAGCAGCCTAGCTACAAGAGAGCTTCTTGTCCTCCTCTTCTCTGACAAGTCCTCTGAAGTCCAATTTTTTGTATGGATGCATTATTTTACACTTTGCTTATATGAAAACCTATGGCACAACAAACTATAGTGGAAGAAACTCAAGACCCTCATTTTGAAACTAGGAAGAAGGTAAGTCATCAATACTTTGCCTTTTTATATACACAAAACATGCCTATATACACACACATGCATGTTGAGAAGTACACATTACTATTTATGTAAACATTACAGATAATTTTCTCTTTACATGTGGAAGAATGCTTTAACAAATAGTAGAAACCATAAGATTCCTGGTGTACTCTACTGTTACGGCTTCTAACTTTTGTTACATACTACAATCAAAACCCAGTCTGGTTTCAGAAAGGTTTGGACTAGGATTTACCAGTTATCTGCTGTATTAAACGGGCTGGGAATATCCGTTTCACAGTCCACGTAGGTCAGCTCCTCTCCAGCACTGCACCCTCTTCTGGAAACATTAATATAGTTGATGGCTTTTCACTTAAGATACGAAACCAAAGCTAATAACCCAAACTTTACTCTGAGTAAAGCTCCAGTGCTTCTTCCTCAACTTTTGAGCACTGAACAGGTTGCCTAGACAGGTTGTGGTGTCTCCATGCTTGGGAGACACTCAAAAGCCATCTGGACATGGTCCTGTGCAGCCTGCTCTAGGTGGCCCTGCTTGAGCAGGGGAGTTGGACAAGATGGCCTCCAGAGGTCTCTTCCAACCTCAACTATTCTGTGATTCTGTACTGCTTTTGTATGTAAAGATGATTTTTCCCAGCATCTAAAAAGACTGAGTTTAGTGATTAATAAAACAAGAAACAATTTACTGCTATTATTCACACACAAAATTGAGTGTTTATTTACTATTTACAAATACATTAATGCTACAGGTACTCTGTCATGTTCTTCATTATCATGGCACCTTAGATAAGGGTAACATATTATGCAAGTAAGACACCTTAGTTTTACTAGGCACCTATGCAGTCACTGTCGAAGTTTAACCAAAACAAATATGGCATACGTCGTGATACTTTTCCATAGTTCTATAAACCTTTAGCACTAAAAGCAACTGTACACTGGATTTTTATATTTTTGGTCAAACAGATACAAGATTTTATTATTTTTGTCGAAGGATTAGTAGTTTATTTGGTCACAAGTCCTAACAGCCTTCTCACTTGAGTATTTTATAGCATCAACAACTTCTGGCTTTGCAGAGAATTTTTTTCCCCCCCCAAGTCAATTGGGGAGCCATCGCCAGCAGATACTGTCAGTGATCTGCATTCCATCATTTCAGTTGTAAGACAACCTTCAAAAAAAGAGAAAAGGAATGAGATTAAAGTTGGATGAGACCAAAACTTAAGCAGTCTAGGAAATACAGCTTTTTGCTTTCTGTTACAGTATAATATGCAACTGTATAAACATGCCTTTCCTCTGGAAAATACACCATCCCTCTCTCAGCTCTCTTTTACAACCTCACACAACTATCACTTCCAATAACTTTCTTTAGCATTTACTGCACGCAAACCATTCCTCAGCTCCCTGTAATCAAAAAGCAGAATGGTAATTTCCAGGTCCAGTGAGATTCCTTCTCCACAAAGCAGAACCGAGGGACCATTTCTAGAGTGAATTCCTCCTTGTGTGCACATAAAAGTAAGTAAGGAGATGACAACATCCCACAGCATCCATACAGACCTTCAAGCAGAACAAAAGGCATGTGGAGACTGAAATCTGTCCCAGAAGAATCCTTGTTTGCATAGTGTAGAGTTCATGACAAGCTACTATTTTTATTTAGTTTTGGAGGAAAAAATCCAGGAGAAAGCAAGCTGTTAAGGGCTCTCATTTCACAAGAACACCACCTGTGTTCAGACTAATGCATTTAGCTTACTGAGAACTGCGTAATTATTCAGAGGTCTCACATCAGCCTCATTAAAGCAACTGGTAGACATAATCTTAGTGTCTTTTGTGATTCAAAATATTAACAGTGCTGTAACAACTTAGTATTTAACTCTATGAGCAATAAAACTATTATTTTCAGTTGTTATATACTGACAAAGATTTTTTCTAAATGTTGGTCTACAGATTCCAGCTATAGCACCGTAACATTATATAAAACGTCTACAGAAACCCCTTACTTGCTAAATGTTATGAAGCAACTAGAAGCTGCTAACTTCTAAAACATGTTGATACAACACTCTCACATCCATCCTGCAAGATGTCACAGAATTCCATCTCTCAGGTAGCAGACATAAGTATTTAAGACACTTTCAGATTTGAAGAAAAACTACTTTCCTTTATAACAGAGCAAGAATTAATACTGAAATGTAACTGAACAAGGAGAGATTCCAGGATTCACAGTTATCACCAGGGTGCAAGTCTGATGACATTTCTTCCCCTAACAATTTTTCTTCAAATCCTCACTCCCCTTAGTCTTTTCTATTAAGAAATCTGAGACACCCCAAATAAGGTTTCACTTGAAATTTTCTTCTTGGGTTACTGTATTGGAATCTTTGTAACTTCCTCCCTGATTTACTATGCCATGGAAATTAAAGCACTCAATTTGAACCAAGCAACTCTCCCATATGCATTCCCAGCCACTGACATTTTGTGAAGCTGGGGGAACACCGGATTTCTCTCCAGTCTTTCAAAATCAACTCTCATCTGACACTGTCATTGCATTTGCTTCTCCTATTCTCAGAAGGTTTTTTAATAGTGCTCTGAACAGACTATTATGCTTATCAGGATTCTAATTACGTTTTTAAAAAATTCTAGACAAAAGTACACTAAAAAACCTCTGAAGTCTATCCAAGATAGTCTGCCTTATGTAAGGCTTTCTGTATCTCTATAGTCATTTTGCCAATGAATGATTTACTTTGGGTTTTCAGCAAGATACCCAGAACAAACTATTTCAGTTAAAATAAACTCAGTACATGGGAAGTCAGGAACAAAGGATGATATTGGTAAAAGCTACCTTATTAGCGGCTTCCAGTGCATTTATTAGGTTTTGCAACTCTTCCTTATTCATCTCTATAGAAATTGGTTTAATTTCACCGTTTTCTCTCACATCCAAATCAAGATTGAGAAGTGGCATTTGCAGCATGGAGATCTTATCACTGGAGAGAGCAAGCTATGCAGATTGATGAAACAAAGTGTAAGGTGGAGCCATTAAGTTTTTAGTCTTTCATAGCATCACATCTGCACTTTATATTGAATGTGTACTACCAGAACAAACATCAGCATGACAAAACTTTTGGGATTTTTGTCTGTTTAATACCAACAATATACCAAAATACTAAAACCCCTCTTCTTAGCAATACATTTGTCACAAGAATTTGTTAAAATTACTGGGCTACTACATTTTTTGTATTCTAGGTGAAACGAAAGGATACATTTGATCATGGCTTTTTAAAAGTGAAGTGTATGAATTCTGAAGTCACCGTATTCAAATAGTTCTGGTAATCAATGAGTAAGAAGGGTCTTACAGAAGGGGGCAGTTGGGAGAAAGAGGACACCTTTGTGCATTTTTCAACTCTCTCTACAGCTGATCAAACACACTTTGTCAGATATCCTATCTGACTATCACTGATGAAGAGGATTACATACCAATTGTGCTTTCTTTTTTGTTTACTATCATACTCACTCTAGTATAAATAAGGCTTTTAAAATATATTAAAATCAAAGATTAGTTGATAATACTGTAGGTCAGTATTGTACACACCTATCTTATTTATTTAGAAAGCAGAACGTGGTACAGCAGAGGAGAGACAGTGTCCTTAGTAGGATTCAACTATGGTAAGCAAAAAATATCACAATCAGCTAAAGGAAAAAAAGAAGTGGTTTAAAGCAAAATGAATACAATAGTTCAGACAGAAATTTGTTATCACAAAATAGAAAGAAACTCAAAAATCCTACAGAAGAAAAAGTTAAAAGAAACCACAAGCAAAAAAACAAGAGTTCACATAAGCCTAGTTTATATTTTTGTCAGCAGTAAATGCAGTTAGCGAGAGATCGATCCCTAGTAACAGTTCATCTGAAGCACGTTATGATGCCATATTTGCTCTTGCAAAAATCTTATCTATTGTGGGCACTGCTCTTTGATTTCCAAAGCTGTTTGCTGCACAAATTATTCAACACTTGTTGAAATGGAGAACTATTTAACAGCTCTACATGTCTGTTTAACAGCTCCCATGGAGTAACTAAACAACATTACTTATACTGTTTATATTTTAAGTCTCTGATAGAGCTTAAGTTAAAGCAGCTGTGTCTTTGTAACCCCAAAGCACCATCCAACTTTAGGCAACACAGCTATCATTGGCTTATTATCAAAATAAGCCTAAAGATAAATGATTTAAAACTAATTATTAAATAATTGTTTATTGCAGGAATCCAAATATTTGAAAAAAGTCAGGGAAACACATCCTGAATCAGTGTACTACTCTTAAGTAAATATTTCTTCTTCCTTTGAGTGAAAATACTGTCTACAGCATACGAAACTTTCAGGTGTTCCTGAATAACACTCAGTTTCCTTTTAGGAAAGAGATAGGTATTGCAGCTTTAAAAGAAAGGAGGAGGGGGTGGGGGGAAAGAATTATTTTACAGTTTATACAAATTTCTGGCAAGCCTTTTATGTGTTATCATGAATGTGCTTTTCTGATACGTATAAAAAGTGAACCATGCTCCAGAATGAGCAGGCCTAAGAGGACCTTATCAATAGCTACTTCTGTGTTGTGGAACACTTCTTTCAAACATTATGGCAACACTCTCACCTTTAACTGCCAGTCAAAATCCTGCAGCTGGGCAGAAGAGATTGCATTTACACTTTCCACTAGTGCATTCCTGATTTCTTCCTTTCTGCCTTTTAGACACTTTGCGATTGCTTCTTGATAGTCTGAATTTAACTCATTTATCTGCTGAGCAGCCTACAAAAATAAAAATAGTAATTGTTTAAACTATGAACCACAGAAATAACATGTACCACCTGCAATAGCTGTGCTCTGTAGATATCCAAGCTTCTACCCAGACAGCTGTTATACTAGACTCCATAGTCTCATCTTTCTTATACCACTCAGTGGCTGCTCTCTGTGTTTGATAGTTAGAGTCAGTATTTACCACAGCAACGTGTAAAAAAAAAAGTTTCTTGTAACTTAAATTAAAAGAGACCAAAGAATGGAGGCTTTATTGCCCGCCTTAGATCCCATCCTAAAGTCAAAACAAACAAACAAACAAAAAAAATCACACACACAAACAACACAGGTTTAGCTCTGAAAGTTTATGAACGTCAGAGTGGAGACAAACTACATTAGCTTAGCTGAAACAGACATACTGATGTACGGACTCTCCTATGACTACACAAGTACCTTTCTTTGATCTAGCTACTAGCAGGTAGTCAAAATAGGAGCAATGGGCAAAAGATGAGAATTAAGATTTCTGATAGTGGAACAAGTTTTTGCAAAGTTTATACATATTGGAATGCCCTGAATTATAGTTCCTGTCCCACATGGTCCTCCATTCACAGTCTAGATTTTTTTTTTGTTTATTTACATACAGTCAATATTTTAAAACATTTCAATGCAGTAGTAATGAACAAAGAAAGCCAAACAAGAGTGTGAATTGTTTTTATTGCTAATGAACAGTAATGACAGGTTATGTATTATAAGGAAAATAGATTTAATTTGGTGGTACTTAAGAGATCAATTTAAGTGACTAAAACAGTACTTTAACAAGTATTATCCAGTTCTATTTAAAAAAAAAAAATCAGTGTCCAATTTCACCTTTTCTTTCAAAAGTCTTCACAGCGTATCTCTAAATGCTGCTAACCTGCCAATTTAGGCTTAGTCTGCTACTACTCAAATGCTACACTATAAAAATACTTTAATACTAAATAAACTACAAGACTAATCACTCCAGTATGATCTCTCAAAGTCAAGCCCGATCAGCGATGAGCCCTTACCTCTTCATCAGATATGTTTTTGCCAACCGCAGTTTTGAAATATGTCATTGTTTCTTCTAAAACCTCCATCCACTCTGACAAGCTCCAAATACTGCCATAATCCTGGTATCGAGGATACGCACGGCCACATATGCCATCAATTATTTTATGAAGGAACTGAAATAACGTGATACCTAACTTAAGAACATGATTCTATCACAGTTAACCTACACCAAATACGAGACCGATCAGGCAATTCAGTTATCACCCCTCCCTTCACTGGGTACTGTCTCAATGCTTCCTCTGTGTGCAGCCTATGCACCATTCTAAAAAGTCATAAAGAGGTAGTCCCGGCATATGAACTGTCCTCCCCTCTCCCCCAAAGTCAATTCACAAGGTTTGGCCACAGAAATCACATGATTTGGATTCACCTCGGACTCACATTTGGACTTAATAGTTTTGTGCACGACTATAACGTACTGCTGAGCAGCAGAACTGCCACACCAAAGGACACCTCAGTCATCTCTGCACTTGGATTGTCAGGATGCAAAGCACAACTCAAAGTGCTGATCTCCAAGCCTGTGCCTCTCCAGTCTCCCAAATCACTGTCCTCTAGCACCGAGGCTCTTCTATATGCCTAGCTTCTTGGCCTGCTGTAGTAATTTTTGAGCACTGCAGTGAAGCAAACCCAGGCAGTCCACTACTTCACCGACTGGAAACCGATGGAGCCTCTCTGGGAGCAGCCGAGAGCGGCTGCACGCAGGCCGTCTCCCTCAGCACCCGCTTACAGCGCTGAGCCCTCAGAGAGCAGACAACTAATGCTGGGAAGAGCTCAAGAACATTTCCAATATTCTAACAGCAAAGCGAGCGCATAAACACCCGCTAGGTGCACCCCCGGCGTATCTGGAGCTGGTACTTTTCGTTTCGTTTTGGAGAGGCCCAGAGAGGCGAGGGAGGGCAGCACGGGCCACAGCCCCGAGAGGCCGGTGAGGCAGCAGCACCGCTATGCAGCCCGGCGGGGCCGCCGGACGA